TTTTTGCTCTTGGAGATTTTCAATTTCTTTTAGCAAAAAATCACACTCCTCTTTATTTGCTTCTTGGCTTAATTCCTGATAATCTTTTTGTTCCTGGTCTAACCTTTCATACTCCTTTTTGCTGGCCAGCAGGAGATTTTTTTTTTTACTGCTTATCGGAGGATAAATTTCGTTTTTTTCTAATTTTTTTAAATAGTCAATAATTTTAATTTCTAAATCTTTATTCACGAATATATGAAAAACTTTATTTATATTTTAACCAGATTTTCAATGGTGTTCTGGTGCCTTGTGGAGGGTTCGAACCTCCAACCTATCGGTTAAGAGCCGATTGCTCTACCATTGAGCTAACAAGGCCTTTTAATTGTTAGACACGACAAAAAGTTAAAATAAATACTTATTAATAATTTTTAACATAAATAATAATATATAAATATGAATTACGCTGCTCTGAAAAAAACAGGTCAAGAGCCAGAATACAAAAAAACTTCTCCTTTGCCAATTTCGTCAATAGGAACCAAAAACAATTCAGTTACCAAGGGCAATTTGCCGGCTGGTTGTGCCTTAATGACGGACACCTTGGATGGCTCCGGAAATGGTTCTTCAACCCTCAACAGTAATGGAATTACTCATATTATTCACGCTGGGCCAAAAGAACGGTCAACATTTTCCAGCGATGAGGAATTTATTGAATGCGCAGTTAAATCCGTCCAAAATTGCATGATTTTAGCCGAGAGAAATAATTTCGATAAATTGGCTGTTCCTCTTGTGGGTGGCGAAATATTTCTTGGTAAGTGCGACCCCGAAAAGTTGGCCGAGGGAATAATCCGCGGAGTTGTTAATCAATTAGGAGAATGTCGAAAGTTAGGGGTGGTGATATTGCAAGTTTTTAATGTCAATACAAAAGTGCTGTAAAATATTATATTATGTTAACTACAAAAATTTTTAAAATAAGAGAAATCAAAAAAACTGACAGCGATTATCTAATAAATTCCGGACTGTGAGATCAATGTATCAAAAACCCTTATGATGAGGTATATTTAAATTCAAAATACAATTACTACATAATTAAGATAGATGAAAAAGTTATTATAATTTGTGCTGGTTTAAATTATGAAAGTGATTACTGGAAAGAAAGGGAAAAAGAGGCAGAAATTAATCAAAAATGAACAGAAGGACAATATTTAGAATTGACAGGGAATAAAGAAAAAGTTAACTCTTCTAAGCCAATAATTACATGAGTTTGCAATGATACAATTAATGGAAATTTTTTGTTAAAATACATTGACAACAGTTCTTACAATTTGGAGTTAGTATCTTATAACAAATAGTAAAATAAACATTAAGTCTTTCACGTGCTTTAAATTAAGTTATAATGAACATCAAATATCAGAAACTCGTAAAAACCGGCCAAGAACCGGAATATAAAGTTAGCCCATTTTTGGTGATTTCTTCAATAGGGGCAGAAATTAAAAAAAATAGTAGTTCCATGCCTTATGGAACGGCTGTCTTAACAGATACCGGCTCGGCTTCAAGTCTTAAAAGTCAAGGAATTAATTACATTATTCACGCCACCCCTATGCCGGAGGGGGATAGTCGCGAAAAATTTGTTGAAGTAGCAGCAAGGACAATCCAAAATTCCATTATTCTAGCGGAACGAGAGGGAATTAGTAAATTAGCAACTTGTTTTTTGGCAGGAAAAATCTACTTAAAACACCCTAGTTCCAGACCCTATTTGGCCGAGGGCATTATTGAAGCCGCCTTAAATCAATTACAAGAAAACTCACTGCAAGAAGTAATTTTTGTCGATTATGACGGCGATTTTTACCAGGATGCCTGAAATAAAATAAAAACCAAGTCCGACTGCCCGCCAACTATTAGTAAAACAAGAGTAGAAAAAGGAAATCTTTGTCAAAAAAGTTTGCATGGTGCCGAGGCCATTGTCAATTCTGAAAAGGTTGAAATGAGTTGAGGTGGTGGGATTTCCGGAGCCATTCTTGGAGCATTAGGAACGGAAGCAAATAACGTCGACCAACAACGAAAAAGTTTGATGAAGAAATTTAACGAGTTGATAAACGGCCAGCAACAAAAAGACAATAATAAAAAACCGAACCAACAAGAGCCAAATAAAAATGATAAACCCAACCCCGGAAAGGATGAAAAACAACCCTCCGATGACTCCCAAGAACCTACTCCTGACAATGGAAATGGGAACAACGACAATGGGGGCAATAAGAAAGACGATAACCAAGAACCCACCGATAAAGGTCAAAAAAACTCAAATGATACCGACAAAAATCCTAGTGATTGAAGAGAGGAATTAAGCCAAGAAGCAAATAAAGAGGAGTGTGATTTTTTGCTAAAAGAAATTGAAAATCTCCAAGAGCAAAAA